AAATAGAAAGAATAAACAGGAGGGGAATGATGGGAAGAATGAAATAAAGAAAAGAGAGGAGAGAGAGAAGAAAGAAAGAAAGTGGAGGGAAGGAGGGAGGGAAAGGATGGGCAGTGGGCAGTGGGTGAGGTGTGGCTGGGTGGACCCGGGTGGGCCTGGGTCAGGCAGGTGTGCCCTGACAGGTGCGCAAATTCAGTCATCAGAAGACCCTTGCTTTTGCAAGGAGATGACTTCTCCTGCACTCCACCCAACTCAGTTGGGTACAAAGGCTTTGTGTGATGCCTCCCAGTTGTGCAGGGAGCCAAATCCAAGCCAAACTTATGTGGCAAAACCTGCCATGTCATCATTTATGCCTGGGCCCCTCCACCCAGGCCTTAGAGCATTACTCCTCCCATTTTATGTGATGGGAAGGCATCAGAAGCAACCAAACGATTGCTCCTGCTCACACAGGGAGCCATTTGAAGCTCCAAAAAATGTGGAAAAATCGTCCACATCTTCAGATTCGTCTCACATCACCTGCGCAACATCCAGCTTGCAATATTGCAGCAAGCCAGTTCACTCCCAAGTCTATTTAACTGGGAGTTACACAAAACCATCAAACAATCACTCCCACTGGCACAGGGAGCCATTTTTGATTCCAAAAAATGTGGGAAAATCTTCCACATCTCCAGCATCGTCTCACATTAACCGTGAGATGTCCAGATTGCAATATAGCAGCAATCTGGTTCACCCCCCAGTCTATGCGACTGGGAGTTGTCATAAACAACCAAACGACCACTCCTGCTTGTGCAGGGAGCTGTTTGGAGTTCCAAAAAATGTGGAAAAAATCATCCACATCTTCGGAATTGTGTCAGGGCAACCACACCTGACCATACAACCCCAGAACCACCTTCCCTGACCTCCCCCCACTTCCCTCATCCTCCCATCTCCACACACCTTTCGCAACTACAGCCCGCACACGAACCCACGGGAAAAATCACATGGGTCAAGGTGAGCAACTCGCCTTAACCCATGTGACACCTTTTCCACATTGCAGGAACATGCTCAGCTCCTACCCTTAGTCACGTTACAAACTGTATAGTACATTTCCCTTTTATAGTAGCCAAGCGGGGAATAGGGAAACTCACCCTTCTTCTCAACTCAATCCCTGCTTAGGCAAGTTGTAGCTACCTTCCATAATACATGACAACTCAATCCCTGCTTAGTGAGTTTGAGGAGCTTGGGGTAGGATCCAGCACTTGGCTGCCTGGGACACCGCAAGTGTCCAGTTCTGAGGTAGGGCCGCCCCCGGACAGAGGCTGGGCCCTGACAAATCGTCTCACGTCAGCCGCGAGACATCCAGCTTGCAATATAGCAGCAAGCTGGCTCACTCCCCAGTCTATGTGACTGGTAGTTGTACAAATCGATCAAACGACAACTCCTGCCAGCACAGGGAGCCGTTTGTGATCGCAAAAAATGTGGAAAAAACTTCCACATTGTCTACATCATCTCACATTAACTGTGAGACATCCAGCTTGCAAAATTGCAGCATGCTGGTTCACTCCCCAGTCTATGTGACTGGGAATTGTGCAAAACAATCAAACAACAACTTGTCAGGGGATGACTCCCAGGTCCCCATGACCCTCCCCTATGGTCCACAGTGTTACAAAAATGGGGCCGGAGGCACCCATTTTCGTCCATTCGAGGCACAGGAAAGGGGAAAGGTTGGGGAAGAGGGTTCATAAGAAGTTACAGATGTTGTTATAGATGTTGTAACATGGAGTTTAACAGATAGTTTAACAAATGGGTTTTCAATGGTAATAGTTGGATAAACTCTATTTATTTACATATCATGTGATTTGGGTGTGTGCAGGGCCCATAAGAGTCTAAATTGGGAAATTTCCCATTTCCATAACACACAGTCTCTGGTGTAACCAGCCCTGTCCAGGGCACAACCTACTGTGGGTCAGAGATGATATATAAGCAAGAGGCAAGTATGTACAACTTGCCTACTGTGGGTCAGAGATGAGAAGGAAGTTAACTTCTCATCTTCCCACAGTGGCCACAATATCAAAAACTTCCGGAGATATCCGGAAGTCACATGAGACCCGAGACCCGGGGCCCAGGGCATCTGGCTGCACGGAGCGTCTGGCCACAGGGCGCATGTGGGAAGTGCAACAGCTGGGTGTGGGCATGGGTGCAGGTGCGAGTGGGGGTGTGGATGCAGGTATGGGCTAGGTCAGGGTGTATGCCCTGACACAACTCCTGCTCATGCTGGGAGCCGTTTTTGATCGCAAAAAATGCGGAAAAAATCTCCACATCATCGTTACCATCTCGCAGCCATAGTGAGACATCCAGCTCACTGCCTAGGTGTGAGCCGGTTCAAACCCCAGTCTACAAGACTGGGAATCATCCAAAACACTCATGGAATGACCCCCACTTGTGCAGGGAGCCAGTCCTGAGCAAAAGAAATGTGGAAAAAATCTCCACATTGCAGTCATCATCTCACAACCGCAGTGAGACTAGCGCTTCATCTAGGAATGAGTGCATCCACTCTAACATGGACAAAGAGTCCATGTCACCCAAATCGACACATAAACCCACGTCGATTTCGCCTCTATCCAAGGCACTTCTGGACTTTGTCCAGTTCCCACCTGAATGGAGGGTGGGGAGTACAGAACAGATAATCACCAGACTAGAAGTCTGGGAATCGATAAGGAAGACCAAGGCACACAGTCAGTGCCTTGGGAACCCCAGATCTGGGGGACAACCATCGTCACATGGACTTAACATGCGCGATATTTCTTATCCTTCTTTGGATATGCAGGAGCAGAGGGGATTCTCCCAGAATATGGTGGAACGGCACCACATCGGGCCACTGTTAGAACGGGGCGGAAACGGACGACTCCGGAGTGGAATTGGAGACTTAGCGTGGAGGGACCTTGGCCTCAGCGACTCAAGCGGAGCGCTGTGCCATTGCTGTTTGTCCATTTGGTCCTTAATTTCACAGTAGGTGAGCAGGAAGTCTCTTGGGGGCATTTCAGGTCGATTTCGGACTGAAACCAAGACGAGTATGTACAAGCGCCGATATATATAATGGAAGGGGCAAAAGCACAAAGAGAACAAAGGGTGACTGAATCGGAACGAAGACGTCCGAACGGGAACAAAGGGTGGGGGAGCGGAGCGGTACCGAAGGTCATAGGGCAAGACCTGTGATACGTCCGAAAGGAGGTAGGGAGGGTGAGGCCCAGAGGGGCAGGAGGATGAGGGGAAGTGGGGATGATGACTAACTGGCTAGAATAGAAAGAAGCAGTAGTCCAAATAGGGATGAAGGGAAAATGCGAGAAATACATTACAGGCAGCGAGAGTGCCGAAGGCGGTCCACGAAGCTCGGGGGTTGCGGAGCTTACGGAGGTTACGGAGGCGGGGTTGGAAGTCCGAGGAATATTGGCAATGGTGTTTACATAGTATGAGGTCACCAATGCAATGGACTAAGGCCGAGGTGGAGTCAAAGTCCGAGGTGGGGACTATGACGGAGGCTCGGAGTAAGGTACGAGCAGTGTCCGAGTGCGAAGTACGGAACAGTGGTGGAAGGTCGTAACTTGGCGGAAGGGTGGCGGAGGAGTAACGGAGGGAGGAGAGAGGGGACAGGTAAGGGGAGAAGGAGTGGCGGAAAGGAGAGTAGTCAGGTCCGAAGGTGAGTATCGGAGCGGACGGGGGAAGCGTAGGAGGATAATGGGAGGGTGGAGGTGTTGTGAAGGGGGAGTGGAGTAGTAGGAGCGTGGTGAGAGGTAAGGAGGAGGTGTGTTGCCAGGACCGAAGGTGAGTATCGGAACGGCAGCGGTAGGTTATGACTCCGGAGGTGAAGAGGGTGGAGGTCCGGAAGTCGGGTCGGGGTCGGGTATGCACGGATATGACAGCCACAGGATGACCACCCGCACTCAGGGCCAGGTTCATCAGGTGGTGGGAGGTGGCCTAGCCAATTACCCTCTGGGAAATCGCCAAGGAGGCTCTCCCAGAATTTGGTGGAACGGCACCACATCAGGCCACAGGATGACCATCTGCATTTAGGGCCAGGTTCATCTGGTGGTGGGAGGTGGTCTTGCCAATTACCCTCTGGGAAGTCACCAAGGGGACCTTCCCAAAATATGGTGGAACGGCACCACATCAGGCCACAAGATAACCACCCAGAATTGGGGCCAGGTTCATCAGGTGGTGGGAGGTGGTCTAGCCAATTACCCTTTGGGAAGTCACCCATTGCCGAAGCAATCACCGGTTTTTCCTCTGGAAAAACCTCATGGTCTATCCATGAGAGACAGAGATCACACTCTCTGTAACCTACTCTTGGGGAAAAATCCCCGAAAAATTTCAACTTTTTCCCTTTCATCATCTGAAAGGGATACCACTATACCGTCTACTCACTATGGGGAAACACATAGTGATCCACCTGTCCAGCCAACAGATAAACCACCCCCAAGGGAGGTTAAATTCATCATCTGACTTCCAGATGATGTGACCTTACCCAATACTGGGTAAAACCGCTTCCCAGATTAGGAAGTAGGTGGAGCAATGCCAGGTCTCACAAGGCTCATTCCTCTGGCCATACCCTTATATGGCTAGCCACATTTTTTAAACCTAGACATCTGTCTAGGGGGGAGAACCCCGCAAAATTTGCGGAGGTAACTAACATTCATTTATTCTAGCCTCCATTCTATTATTGAAACTTTCTTAACAATACACATAACATTTCACTCACTTACCAATACACTCCTTTTTTTTTTTACTTTCTACTTTCTCCATTTCGTAAATTACCACATAAAATTGTCATGGAAAAGATTCTTTTTTCTTTTTTTTCTTTTCTCTCTTTTTCATGTACCCTTTCCCTCTTTCTCTTTGTGTGCACTGACAAGCAACACAAGGGGGGAGAGTGTCAGGTCATGGTCCATGTATGTAGGGGGTCATGTGACCCAGGGAGGTCACTATCATCATCCTACCCACTGTGAATCATACATATTTAATACTCACAGCTGGGTTCTAGGACACCACCTTACACCATCTTCTATGCCAGCACCTTTCTGTAAACTAATAAGAAAGTCCAGCTGGCAGGCCCTGTGGTGAGTGGCACCGTGAAAAGAACCGGTGCAACACCTGAAATTGGCTTCTTTGACCAAATCCCCAATGGACAACTTCAATAAAGTTGCAGAGAATGTACACCCAATATCGTAAGCGAACAAGATGTTCTTGCTGAATGTGTGTATGAGCTTCTCAGCAGAAGCCAGAGGATATTTTGCTCTGATGGGTATCAGTTGTAACACAAACATCAGGGGTAGCAATGTACAACTCTCCACTTTGAACCATGTTGAGAAGGAATTGGACAATTCTGTGCTGACAAACAACTGAAAAGATTCCAGTTTCATCCATAACTTGCAGAGCCCCAGCTTTCGATTTTGATGGCATTGGTTGTGCATTCTTCCAAGCAAGGCAAGCATCTGATATTGACAAATCCTCATTTGACTATAAGACAAAGTCAGTGGACATTGTAGAATATAGGAGCTGTAAAGGATACACTTATTTGACTCGAAGCACCCTGTTGTGAATGCTTTTGAGCGCTAGTGAACTGATCTACATCTTCCTGAGTGATGTAGTGATCACCGACAAACACATGCACATCTCCCTCAAAGTGATGACAAGGTCATGATAGAGATGTATTCCCATCACCAGTCACAATAAATTGGATTGGAAGCTCTGGCTCGTTCTCAACCTGGCAAATAACATCATTGCAATACTATCTATGATGAGTCCCAAGGTACTTACTCTGTGATGGCAAGCAGGGCACAAATTCTTGAGCCGGTAATCCGGTGTGTCGTGTTGCAGCTTCTGATGGACCATAGCACGTAATCAGGACAGAATGTGGTAGAAGACCTCCAAGGTGAGTGAAATTTGAGTTTGTAAGTGAGGCTGGAATATGGTCTAATGTTTTGAATCAGCAAATGATGGGCCACAGAGTATAAACATAATATGCATCCCTTGTGCATATCACCAAGCAATCGAGAAAAATTTTGCATACTGAAATTTGGCACTGCACAGAAGAGCGAGTGGAGTAGCTCAAGTGTTTGTAGGGAAAATGCAATTTTGGGTTCTGTTGGTGTTGAAGATACCCTGCACGTAAGAGTGCATGTGCACAGTTTTCTATCCCATCCCAAGGGATATACTCGATTGAATGGCCATCCGCATGCTAAAATCAGGATGGGCCACCTGTAGAACCATAGAAAAAACTCACTGAAGATGTTGATGCACAGGATCTCAATCCAGCTGCTGCCTTCCAAGCGATCTGGGTAATGCAATGGTGTGCAAGATGGATTGGTCATCTTGGTGTGTAGGTAAAGCTTAGTGAGAGTGTCCAGTTGTTCAATCCATCGGGTATGGAGCCTTGTCATCCATGTACTCCATTCATGACCCTTCTTTCACCTGGACAGAAAGAACCTCAAGTCTAACAATAAAAACAGGCTCAAGTGAAGGGCTTACAGCTTTGGAGCTAGCTTCGCCACCAGGCTAAGTAGCTGTTCATAGTCAAGCCCCACATTGTCAAGTAAGTTTAAATCATCCCTCCCCGGCTTGTCCTCCCAACGGTCTAAATCCTCCAGTGCCACCCCACCATCTCACATCTCCGAAAGGCCCTCAACAACTTCTTGTGGGATATCTGTGTAGGTCATGAGCTAAACATAAGTGAAAAGTAACGTCAAACATGCTTTCCAACAATCGTTGACAAGCTGCATCCATTGTAACCCGAGCCTTTTTGCATGCCAATAGACCATTCTGAGAAAGGGCCAGGGAGTCTGTTCCCCAGTTGGTCATGACTACCTTGCACTTGCAACCTTTCACCATCTGTTGCTATGAAGCAAACTTGTGAGACATGTTACACAGCTTCAATGGCAAACTTTTCATGCTTACTACAAGGCGTGGGTGGGGGGGTAGTTATTGAGTCGAAGCTGGGGGTTATCTACTGAAGAATGAGCATATATGAGGAAGTTGAGGCTAACGATGATAGGCACCACTTGATCAGAATATAGAAGTCCAAGGTCACACATACAATTGGGCAGTGACAATACAGTTGTGACAAACCTCATCAAACATCACACCTTGTGCACCCATTTTCTTGCACAACACATTGAAATTGAGTGGCAAGGATAAGAGGGAGAATGGTAAGCATGTGTCTGATTATCACTGACAGATTGGAAATAACTCACCTGCATTCGCAGAGCTAATGCATGTGAAATCAAGGGACACTGCGGAGGACATCTTTAAAGCATATGTCCAAGCAAGCTGTGGAGTATATCAATGGGATGACAAAGAAATGGAAGTTGTTGGTGGAAATGTAAGTGAACCCTTTATTCTTGACTTCTACATAGCTTGGAAGATGAATGGTGAGTAGTCAATCACATTCTGAACACATCTACTTATGACGATGCAGGGAACTTGCCCAAGGGGGAAGAATGGGATGTGGCAACAATCCAAAAAATTGTTCCATGGGAGGTTTTCACTAAGGAGATGGCATGCATGGTTAAGGAACACCTCTTGGCTCCATTGCTTGAGGTGCGCACTTGCATGTGGAAAATTCGTGCCTTGGTGTGTGTGGTATTAGACTTTGAAACTTACCTTTAGAAAGACGTCCATCTTGGATCATCTTGGGTACTACAACTTCGCATTGATTGATTATGAAGGCCACAAGGCACCAATCGAGATCATCACACCAAAAAGTATTGAGGCCAATGAAGGATGGTCTCAGTTGAGGATGGAGCTCCTGGATGCATTTCTCAAAATGCCTCAGTATGCCTGCAATTCAGGTGACAATCCAACCACACACCTCTGCATCTGATCCAGACTGTTCACTCAATGCACTAAAATGTCTAAGCACTCCTGCCATCCAGCAGCCCACAGAAGTGGCCTCAACACCAACCGGCACTTGTTCCACAGCAACACACTCTGTCAGCAGCCGAAAGAGCCGATCCGGGGTCAGGTTGCCCCCTTGTCAGGGACAGCTCCGAAAGCGGCGAGGTCCTGGCATGCGGGACTCGGTGGGATGAGTAGTGGCTATGCATAGCAGCGGTCCCATCGCGGGTTGAGCATCCCTGACCACTTAGTCTGAAGTGGGAATGTGAGAAGAAGGCTACTTCTTCGGTTCCCACTCCAGCCATTATTATATACATGCGGGGTCGATCACATGGGGTGTGCCACATCACCCTCGCACACAGCCATGGCTCTCCAGGTGTCTCCATGGGAGATCCCGAGAGGGTCCGTTGTAGGTGCGAGGTGAGCATGGCGGCAGTGGTGGCGATATAGGGATGGTAAGATACAAGAGGGGGAATGGGCATGCATGCCAGTGATACATTGAACAGCGGGAAAGGTGGTCCATGTAAGAGAGAGAAAGAAGAAGAAAGAAAGAAAGAAGAAGGAAAGAAAGAGGAAAGAAAGAGGAAAGAAAGAGGAAGGAAAGAGGAAAGGAAGAAGGCATGGTGTGGAGCAGGGAAGCGGAGCAGTGTCAGGGACGGCTCTGAAGAGGCGGGGGTAGTGGCATGACGCTCAGCGTTGACAGCCTGGGCGGTGGCAGGATGGTGAGACCATATGGTGGGTAACCCTCTCTCAGGCTGATGTCCCTGTGTGGCTCCTTAGGCTGAAGCAGGAATGTATTGTTATTAAGGTGAAAAGCTAAACTAGGTTGAGACACTTGCCTGAAGCGGGAATGAGAAGAAGGCTGCTTCTTTGGTCCCACTTCGGCTAGGTTTATATACATGTGAAAACAGGTCACGTGGAGGTGCCATATCGACCTCGGATGAAGCCAGGTCGTCATGGGCAACTCCATGGTCTATCCCGGGTGTAAGAGAAGAGAAATACAAGTAAGGATGCGCAGTGCGTTCGGCATCACAGTACCTGTGCGGGGTGCTTGGCATCGGACACGTCCATGCTACAAATATGGAAAAGGGAGAGGTTGTCCATATAAGGATAGAAAGGAGAGAGAGAGAAGAGAAAGAAGAAAAGGAGGAAAGGAGAAAGAGAGGGCAGGGAGTGGCATGGCTTGGCATGCCCTGACAAGCAGGGGTCCGGTGGGGCATGTCGGGGTGTGCCCTGACATCACCCCCTCCTTAAGCCGCTTCACCTCAAAGTGGCTGGGCAGTCTTCTCTTTCTCTCCCTGGGGCATGAGGGTGTCCAATGGAAATCTTCCACTAAGTTGGGGGTGTGGGTCAGGTGGTCACGCGCGAGCCACTGGTTCTCTGAGTTTGGCCAGCCTGTATACTTTACCAAGTACCAGAGTTTTCAGTGCTGCCATCTGGAGTCCAGAATTTTTTCGACCTTGTACTCCTCTTCTCCATCTACGAGGTCTGGGCCTGGGCAGGGGTTGGTGGGGTGTTCCACAATCTCATTGGGGCAGTGCGGCCTGATGTTCATCACGGACATGACCAGGTGGATTCCCTTCTGTTGTGTGGTGAGTTGGAGTTTGACAGTGGCAGGGGAGATGACTTTGGTGATCCTGAAGGGGCCGATCCACTTGTGGTCTAGCTTCTTGGTCGGATGGTCAGTTGTGTAGTTCTGGGTGCTAAGCCAGACCTGGTCGCCTTCTTGGTATGTAGGGGCTGCCCCGCAATTGCGGTCATAGTAGTGGGCCATCTCATCCACTGCGTGCTCCAGTGCCACCTTTGCCTCCTCTTGCATTTTCATCATTCTTGAGGAGAACGCATCTGTGGCTTCCACCTCGGATGTGCACATGGGCTCTGTCCCCATCCTGGGGTGTTGCCCGGTGTTGAGCTCGAAGGGGGTTCAGCAGGTAGCAGAGTGGATGTGGTTGTTGTAGGCAAACTCCGCTAGCGGGAGCCAGTCTGCCCAGTCGTCTTGGCAGTGGTTGATGAACACTCAAAGGTAGGCTTCTATCTCCTGGTTTACCTGCTCGGTTTGTCCATCTGTCTGTGGGTGGTAGGGTGTTGAGGGGGTGAGCTTGACTCCGAGGAGGTCTGCGAGTTCCTTCAAGAAGCGGGAGATGAAGGCGCTTCCTCTATCGCTGAGAATCTCTTCAGGTAGGCCATGGTGTCTCCAGACGTGTTTGAGGAAGAGCTGTGCGATTCCTGCTGAGTCCACCATCGTCACTGTAGGGACCACATGGATGCACTTGGACAGGTGGTCCACTACGATGAGAATGGCGTTGTATCCCTTCGACTCGGGAAGCTCCCCTACCATGTCAACAGAGATCACTTGCCAGCGGTGTGTGGGGACCTTGTTCAGGATGAGCTTTCTGACCTTACAGGAGGGGAAGGACTTGATGTGGTTACAGGTGTCGCACCCATGCACATACTGTCCTACATACTCCGCCATCCAGGGCCACCAGTAGTTGCAGGAGATGAGTTCCGGGGTTTTCCATTGCCCTGGGTGCCCTGTCGCCCACGCGTCGTGGTGTAACCGCACCAGGTCGTGGCGGAGTTGCGGGTCCTTGTGTCAGAAACTGTATTCGAGGTATTCATGGGAAGTGGAGCGGAGTACAGTGGCGTGAGTGGACACTTAGCTAATGTGCTACTCTGTTGCAAGGTGTCATGGGGTTGGGACTTCGGCTTCAATGACTTGGCTAGAGCATTGCGCCATGCATCCTAGGCTGTCCTGTATTTCAAGTTAGTGGGAGGGACCTTGCAGCGAGGTTGGCTCAGGCAGAGATGAAGTTGAGAGGCGAACTTAAGACAAGAGTACTTTGGGAGGAATTCTAGTCGATATTTGAACTGAGGTACATCGACAGTAAACTACAAGTATAAATACGAAAGGAGAACAGAGAAGGGGCTGGTCGGTCCAGCGTGGGACGGGAGCGGGATGGTAAGTACAACAAAACTAAAAGAGCAATGAGGACCAGGGAAATGGAACAGAGGACGGTGAAGTTGGGAGGCAGAATGAATAGGCTGACATTCTAGGTGCCAATATGGTGGCAGATGTTAGAACGGGCGGATTCAGACGACTCCGGAGTGGAATCGGAGACTTAGCGTGGAAGGACCTTGGCCTCAGCGACTCAGGTGGAGCACTGTGCCATTGCTGGTTGTCCTGGGGGTCCCTAATTTCGGATCTAGCAAAGGGAAAGTCTCTTGGGGGCATTTCAGGTTGATTTTGGACTGAGGTTACAAGTTACTATGTACATTGTATATAAGGAGGGGTCCGGAATCAAAAGGAGAAAGGAGACAAAGGGAGCTGAAAGGAGGAACAACACCAAGGGTCAAGGGTTTGACTCAATGGTGTTTCCCAAAGGAGGAGGAAAGGGCCAAGGCCCAAGGAGGAAGGAAGGAGGAAGGGAGTGGGGAATGGCTAGCTGACTGAATAGAAAGGAAGCAGCTGCCCAAATAGGAATGAGGGAGAATAGCGGAATTGAATGGAGCAATGCAATAGTTGCAAGGTCCGACATAAGTCCGGAAAGTCTGAACTCGGAAGTTAAACTCCGGAATATTGGCAAAGGCAATTAAATGGAATGAGCTAACCAATACAATGGGTATAAGCGGAGGTGGTGTCAAAGTCTGAGGTCGGAGCTAAGACCGGGGGTTCCAGAAGACAGAGATGCAAACAGGGTTCCGGAGCGGAGGTCTGGAGTCGGGAGTGTAGGTGTTGCATGCTCATCTGGGAGGTGTCGAGGTTGGGGTCAGACCCGGAATGTGCCGGAGTCGGACCGAAGGTGGTGTCAGAGCCGGAGGTGGGATAACCTCTTGGAAGTCAGCAAGGAGAAGGTGACGGAAGGGAAGTAGGACTCCAGAAGTCAGTTTTGGAGTTCTGGGAGCCTGGAGCAGAGGTCAGGATTGTATGGATATGACAGCGGATCAGAATGTCAATATATGAATAAATCAAATGTCAATAAAGGAATAAACCAAATGTCAATAAGGAGCGGATCAGTGGCGACAATATTGACTGCTAGTAAGTTGTTAAGCGAATGAATAAGAATAAAACAGTGTCGGCTGAATGGCTGAGGAACTCAAGTGGTGGTGGGAGAAAGAAGGAGGCGCCGCTACAGGGCCATAGATGGGAATCACTATCGGCACTGCTAAGTGATGGACAATGGCGCAATTAACAGGTGCAAATAACGGGTGCAAGAATGGGGGTGCAGATGATAGAAGTGGTAGAAGGGCAGGGACTTTGCAGGGCCATGACACCTTGGGGACATATATTCTTCCCCTGTATAGGACTAGCTCCCCCTGTTTCTCCCATTCATCTGACCTAACTGTCCCTTCTCCTAGTTCTTCCATCGCCTTCACCACGCTCTCATCCAGGTCCCTTGCTCCATGGATCCTCTTGAGGATAGTCAACTCTCCTCCTTCTATGGAGATTGCCTCCGTTGCACGGGTTTCAAACCAAGTTGGTTGGAGGAGTGTCAGCCCCTCATTGTCGTCCCTACCCCTCAGGTGGTCAGTGCAGTGCGAGAGTGCATCCGGTTTCCCCATGAGCTTTCCTGGGCGGTGGATGAGGGTAAAGTGGAACTGAGAGAGGAAGAGTGACCACCGTGCTTGGCACCGGTTCAGGTGCTGCATGGTGTGGAAGTACCCTAGAGTGCGGTGGTCAGTGTAGACATCGACCTTCTCCTCTGCTCCTTGCAGGAAATGCCGCCATTCCTCAAGGGCATGCACTATCGCGAGCATCTCCTTGTCATACACCTCATAGTTGCATTCCACATCTGTGAAGCTTTTTGACATGAAGGCCACTGGGTGGAACTCTCCATCCATCTGAAGTTGAGAGAGGACAGTGCCGGTTGCGAAGTTGGAAGTGTTGCACTCGAGTTTGAAGCGGCCTGTGTCAGTGGGGAAGGCGAGGATGGGGGTGGAGGTGATGGCGTCCTTGAGGGCATGGAACGCATGGTCCTTGTCCGGTCCCCAGGCCCATGCCTTCGTTTTGTGGGTTAATGCGTGGAGGGGGTGGGCTATCTCCAAGAAGTCTTTGATGAACTGGTGGTAGAAGTTGACAAACCCTAGGAAAGACTGCACCTCTTTGACCTTAGTTGGGGTTGGCCAGTCGAGGACTCCGCAGATTTTCATGGGATCCATCACAATGCTTCCCTCGGCGATGATGAGGCCGAGATATTTGA